GGTCAGGGTGTTTGGCGTATGGCCTTGACTTTTGAAGCTACACCATATCGTACATCTCCTCCGAGATCCGAGACTTGGGACCAAGACAGCAGACTCGAGCCAGTGACAGAGAACACGAGAGACAGAGAGACAGAGAGACAGAGAGACAGAGAGACAGAGAGACAGAGAGACAGAGAGACAGAGAGAGACAGAGAGAGAAAGAGACAGACAGCGGGCACGGCTTCAGAAAAGAGAACGGCCCACCCGAGGACCGTTCCCTTTCGCAATATCTCCGCTCTCGCCCATCTTCCCTCCTGCTCGATATCTACACGTCAACAAGAACCTACGCATGGTGTAGCCAAGAGGCCGCTCGCTTCCTTCCTTCTTTCCCTTTCACCGCCGCGTTGCTGGGATTGGTCCTTCTCGAACTGCCAGTCACCGCCCGCCCTAGAAGACTAGACTAGACTGAAGGCCGATCAGCTCTGCCATGAGATTTCGCTTCGATCCCATCTAGCACCACCAGCAGCCTGTTTCGCCCCGGCCCATCCCGTCACACGACCCGTCGATTTTCCATCATACCAAAAAGACACACAACAGTTTCTCCCGTCATCGACCCCGACTTCCTGTCCAAGTTCCGCAACGGCAACACAAGTCAACAATACCTACCTTACGTACACTCGCGCCGTCCCGAAACGCTTCTCCAACCATCAAACAAGACCGATAATACATAACACGCCCCCGATGGATCGCCCGCGCGGTCTGCCTGATAACCCGGGGCTGGGCCGGCGAATGCCACCTGTTGGCGCCGGTCATGCCCATGGGAACTTTCCTCCGCCCCATCGCGATGCTTCGAGTTCGTCCCTGTCGGCATCGACCCCGCTGTCTTCCAACCAAGTCATCGCCCTGGTGCGCGAGTCCATGCGAGTTGCTCACGAGAACGAAGCAAAGGCGACCGAGGGCATCAGCACCCTCAAGCCCGGTCTTACCGTTGACCTGAGTAGAAAGAGGATACAAAAGCTGCCAGACGAGGTGGTCGATATAATCAAGGATGAGTTGGAGAGGTACTAAGGCATCTCGGAATTACCTGCTGGTCGGTCCATTGGCTAATATGTTGCTCTGCGACCCAACAGGCTTGCGCTATCACATAACTACATCCAGACATTCCCTACCCGGTTCTCCGAGTGTACCTCGCTACGTTACCTCAACGTCAGGTCGAATAGGATAAAGGAGTTTCCGCTCGCTGTAAGGTTATATGTCGTCATCTCACCAATTGGGCTGTCGCTGACCGGATCATTTACAGCTTTGCGACCTCAAATCACTAGAGATCCTGGATCTAGGCCGAAATATGCTCCGTGTCCTTCCACCAGATATTGTGAAACTGTCGTCACTCAAGGTCTTCTCGATACAGAAAAATGAGGTCTCCGAATTACCACTATGTCTGGCCGATATGCCATCACTCTCCGTCATCAAACTCGAAGGCAATCCCCTGGTCTTTCCACCACCGGAAATTTTCCAGGTTCCGCCGCCAAGCGTACAGAACGAGGGTATCTTGAAGGAAAGCGAATTGACCGAAATCACGGTTACGGCGCATGTGAAAAAGTACCTCAAGGCAAAGGCAAACAGCATTCTGGAACGAGAACAAGCCGCATCACCAAACGACGAAATCGACGGTATCGAGACACCACGACCGACCATCAAGCGCGTTTTCAGCGGGCGGTTTCCCATCAAGATCAACGGCACAGACGTTCCAGATCTTAGGTCGCCCAACTTGTCCCGTCCTCCGCCTATCCCAAGCCGATCCCATTACCGGGGTCTCTCCCAGCAGAGTTCAGCCCAGCGACGACCTGGCGTCATGCCACTCACCATTGGCAACCCTAACGAGCGAATACGCAGTAACTCGGAAACAACGGGCGCACACCACTCGAGCCGCGAACGATCCGAGAGCAGGTCGCGCCGTATGGGCATTGTCTCCAGAAAGGGCTCGGAACTCGGCACTCTTGACGAGTTGGAGGCCAAGGACCGATTCAGCATTCACTACCGTGGCCTCAGTCACGGTTCGGCCATGCAGCCTGGTAACGGCAGTATGCCTGGTCAGAGCCCAGCACCCTCCAGTCCAGCCGATTCGATATCCTTGCAACGACCCATCTATGTCCGACGACTGTCGATCCTACCCGAAAGGAGGCGTGAATCAAAGTTTATTGATCCGGTACTGGAGGCTGCTAAGGGTATCCTGTACTCCATCTTTCAGATTCACCCCATGATCCAGATGTTGATGGGTCTTTCGAATGACGGTAACAGCAAACGTTCGAGCCTTGAGATCGTCTTTTACAATACCAATGCGCATGTGGAGCAGTTGGAATTGGAAATTCAAAAGCACGACCAAGCAGGAGATGGCGGCGGGCCGAGAGAGAACGAGAACGTGCAGAGAGCATGCATTACGCTGGTGCAAGCATACAGCCACGTGTGCTCCCTGCTGGTGAATAATGTTGATTTGTTTCTCGATAACGGTGACCCCAGGTACATCCGCACTCTGTTGACGCAGCTCTATAATAGCATTATGGAGCTGCGTGTTACTTGCTCCCAGCCATCGCCCGGAATGCCCTCGCGCAATATCCCGCCCGTCCCCCATCGGCCAGACCTCGAGACCATTCGACCGCACTCGCGAGACAATTCGGTTACTCCCACTATCGATCGTCCGCCTCAGACCGCGAGACTACGGAACCCTGGACCAATGCATCCCCACGCCAACCTACGTGTCGCGACGGATGTGCCACTGATGCCGTTTAACAACGGAATGCACCGACAAGTTATGAGTGCTGTTACGCCTCGGTCTGGAGAGCCTTTCCCAATAAGCGCGGGCGGTATGCGGCTGCCCATTGACGAGGAAGATCGGATATTCGAAAAGATTTACTTGGCTCTGATGAAGTCTGCCGAACTTGCCCTCAAGGTTTTGCCAAATCTTAGCGCGCAGTTCAGCGTCGCTTTGCGCAATGCCACCACGCAACGAGCGTCCGACCATGTGGTGCACTGTTGGAAGGCGCTGATTGTGAAGTGCAACGATTCAATCCGTCAGACGGAGATATTGAAGGAGAAGCTATCGAACATCAAGCTGAAAGAGCCGGGGATCCGTGGACAGCCGGGGTTCTGGAGGATGTGCAATGACTACATCGACGCGTGGTATGTCTTGGGTAAGAAAACTATGCAGTTTCAAACCGACATTCAGTTGCCAGTCGATGCCAAAGCCAGGATGCGGCCCATTCAAAAAGCTATGAAAGATGCTTGGGAGTTTATGGTACACTCACCGTGGTCCCATTTCCTGAAGCCGCAACCTAGTAGTGGCGGGCACGGAAGGGGAAGGATGAGGGGGAGAATAGGAGGTCCGGGAATGGAAGGAGTTGAGGATACATCGAGCCCTTACAGCACGCATGGCACCAACACGCCGGTACCTATGCCAATGACGCCACAGAGCGCGGCTCTTGGTCCAGCTGTTCAGGCGACGGTTCCATCGACACCTAAGAACGGCTCGTTTTCGGCAGCGTTCAATGGAGGATTATTTGAGAGGGCTGAGACGCTCATTCAAATGGGAGGCCCAGGCATGGGAAGCCGAAGCGGAACCATGCAATCGACGTCAACAGCAAGTCTGAACTCGATTGGCACAACCCTATCCGGGGAGAGTGCTATGACCCCGAACTCGGCACTTAGTCCGGGTCCGGGATCACTGGCGCCGCTTCCATTCCGAATGAATAGTGGGAAGGTGGGCTTCTAGGCGAGGGCCCGTGTATTCATCAGAAGAAAGCACACAACACATTGCACCAGGTTTTCTTATACGGTTGTCAAGGGAGGTCCCCCAAGCTGCAGGTTCAGCGGTTGGGTTGGATGCGATATCTCTCTCACACACATGCGTGGCTACAAAGTCTTTTCTTGTTATAGCAACAGGTGTGGTCAGAGTTTAGGTCTTTCAAAAGACAAGCCGTTCCTTTTTTCTTGGGTCTGATTTCCTATATGTACTATGTCTATCTACACACACACAGCATCTAGGCGTTCTTATTTTCTGAACAAAAGATTTGAAGAAGGGGAGCATTGGTGGGCAGACGGTTGGGACGGACGGGCAGAGACGGACGGGACTCGAAGCGAGCAAATACAGGTTGCACGCATGCATGGTATAGGGAGGCGCGGCGCGCGACGAGTAAAGGTGGACTGAACTGAACATAAGACTGGCATTTGCAAGGGAGAGAGGGGAAAAGTTTAGGTATAGCAGCACAAATCTTTAATGTGTACAATCAATTTCGAGTCTACAAGATTGAGGTCTTCACGACTTGTGCATGGAGGATTATAAACCAGGTTAAGGTGAGTTGACGGGTGCAGTCTGCCGGCCTGGTCGTCAAGTTAAAAAGGCGAATGTCAACAAACAAACTAACTAGACCTACAAACCTCTCCTTAGATATACACACTGTCCCAATTGCAAAGCCAGAGAAACCAACGAATGACGTGCATTAAATCTAGAACAACCAATTCAGAGACAGACAGGCCATCCCCCGCCAACGGAGGGTAGGTAAGCTTAACTCCCCGTTCGGAAGCTACCCCGCGTTACATTTGTGCTGTGCCGTGCCTTTTCTGGTGTCTTGCTCGCTCGGTTTCTCACCAGTCCAGTCGTATAAATGGACTGTCTCCACCTTTGTACATTTGATATCAAAGACATCCTACCGTACAACATTTGCATCTACATTTACATCTTTCTGGCAGCGTTACGTTTCACGCTGGATGGAGGCAGGCAGGTTGTCAAACTTGCGCCTACTTACATCTGATTCTGTTTCTACTTCTACTTACTTGTTCAACAATTGCGAAGGTCAGCGGCTGGTGTTATCAATGCTGACTTCCACTTTCTTCTGTCATTGAATTTTCACATACTCGATCTGGATATACTTGCTCGGTCAATCTATACCAGATCGCTACCTATTACTGACACTCAACTCACTCGCCAATACAATAAGTGACGAATGACGGAAAACAAGCTGTCCAAAATGTCTCGACCAGTATCCCGTCCCAACTTCCTCCAACCAGCCCGGTCTGCTCCGGCCCCGGCATCGGTAACCAACACCAATGTCACTGCCGCTATGGTATCCGTCCCCAGCGATGTTGACCCTGACATTGACGGTCCGGAGTATCATGATACAGAACACAGACCAGGTCCGGGGTCAGTAACAGGCACAGCAGCATCAACAACCAGTTCAACAGCCACCCATACAACCGGGCGCGCCTCCTCAGCTTTCTCCCTCCCATTTTTTGCAGGGTCAGCAGCGTCAAAGAGATCGACTGCTCCGACGGTATCATCAGTTTCAACGTTTTCGACATTGCCGGGGCAGGTGGTTCCTGTTCCGAACGTTCATGCGCAGGCTTATACAGGGCAGCAAGTGTCGGTGCCGGCGTCGACTTCGGGGGCGTCGACGAGGACGGAGAGGACGGCAACTACGGGTACGGGGTCGTCAACTTCTGGTGCTTCAACTACGACAACTACGGCAACTACTAATGCGAGAAGAGCTGCACCTGGTTTCCCACCCCCATCACAAACCGCGCCAACCTCCCGATCCGGAGCCGGAGTCACCCACGGACAACAAGCCCCCCAAACACCCCGCACCCCCAACACCATCACTTCTACCACCTCTCCCCTCACCTCTTGTACCAACACAGGAACCCTCCCCATAGCCCAAGCCCGCACCGCCGTCCTAGCCTCCATCTCCAACCTCCTCGACCGCGAACTCACCGGCCGCGCCTCGTTACTCCATCAAAACCACAACGCTATCCTCAAACAAGAGAGGGAGATGTCCAAAGCGGTAGAAGGGTTCAAAAAGGACAACGACAAGCTGGAAAGGCTAGCGAGGGAGGGGACGAAAAGGTTGAAAGAAGTGGGGGACGTGCAGAACTGGGCGGAGGTTTTGGAGAGGGGGTTTTTGAGGGTTGAAGAGACTATTAGGAGGGCAAATGGGGAGTATGGTGATTATAGTGGTGAGAGTGGGAGTTGGACGGGGAGCGGTAGCTGGAGTGGTAGTGGGAGTTGGGGTGGGAGTGAGAGGGGGGATGGGGATGAGGGCGATGATGGGGAGGGTAAGCGAGGAGAGGTCGAGGATGATAAAGTCAAGAGGGAGAGCGGGGGGCAGCAAGGTCGAGTGGAAGGGAATGAAAGTCATAGTGTTGAGGAAGGAGGAAAGGGGGCCACTGAGGTAGAGGGTGGCAACGATGATAAGAGAGAAGAAGTGGTAACAAGAGACGCTGAAGGGGACATGGTCATGACCACTGAAGATGATGTCCAAGAGAGACATACGAGACTTGACAAGGGAAAAGGAAAGGCGGTCGATGATACGATACCAGACCCTTCGAAGGTGCCTCTGCCTCAGTCACCGGTATTCGGTGGCGGCGCTCAGTTCCTTAGCTTAACGCCCACAGCGGTCTGAGTTCCCTTTCATTTGACGACTTGTTATGGGGGCAATATGTTAACGATGTCACGACGTAATGATCTCAGATACCGAAAAGGCAAGTAATATGTCATTCGAGTCCGGAAACTCGTTCATTTCATTACACATTTCTATCACCAATTTTATCTAACAACCTGTAACACATGAGACTGATGCCAGTGACATATCACTGCCACAATGCTCGATTGTCGTACACCGAATGTACAAGAATGCTTGCATTTGACCACCAGACTTAAGCTGGAAGGCTATGCGCGACACATCCTAGACTTACACCTAAGCCGGACCATCGAGGCCAGCTTAGATAAGACCGGGAAGCATGGTGTAGCGCTTGGCCTTGTAGCGATCGCCGAACTCCTTGCGAAGAGCTCTCTCCTTGCCGCGGGACCAGCTGCGCATGTAGAAAGTACCGGTAGCAATGAAGATAACGACAGCAAAGCTGCGGCTGATCAAGATGACACCAACCCAAGCGAGGACCTCGAACATATAGTTGGGGCTGGTGACCAGGTTGCTGCCAATGCAGTTGGGGATACCGCGCTCAGTGCCGCCAGGCTTGCGGAGGCTGGCCAAGTGCTGGTGAACGATCCAGTTGCAGACCTCGCAGACGGCGAAGAGGCCGATGCCAAAGTAGTCGAGAAGAACAAGGTCGTTGCGGTCGGAAGAGGAGCCGGGGCGGTAGATGTCGATGGAGCACATGAGGCCGGCGAGGAGCCAGTAGAAGGCCGAGTTGCGGAAGATGTTGAAGGCGGGCATGGTGTTGGCCGAGAACTTGTGGACGAACATGGTCTCGTACTCGCGCTTGAGGAAGTGGAGGTTGAAGAGGGCGAAGAGGAGCCACTGGACCTGCGACATGGGCGTCTCGGCCTCGTTCTTGTAGGCCCACGAGCCGAAGCTGTAGATGTAGGGGCGGAGCAGAGGGACGAGGACGTGGAAGAGGATGGGGCCGAAGTACTCGATCACGAAGACGGTGCGCCAGGCGATCTGGGGGCCTGTTTATTTGAAGAATTATGTTAGTTTACTAGACTTGAGACTTTCACATGTTTTTCTAAGAAATTATGACGTACCAAGGTCCTTGACGACAAGCTCGCCGGCCTTGACAACACCGGCCTCATCGCGGACAAGAGCCTTGCGGTTCTTGAGGATCTTCTTAGTCTCGGGGTCGAAGAGACCAATGCGGTTGAAGTCGCTGATGCCGGACTGGCGGGCAACGGCCTGCTTCGCGTCCTCGACGGTGGCATCGGCGGGGAGCTCAAGGGAAGCCGGCAGCTTCTTGATAGCCTGCCTGGGCGACTTGTTGGAGAGCTTGAGAGAGAGCTTGGCGGCCATGGCGATTGACTTGTTTGCGTATCAAATCGACCAAGATCAAAGATACGGAATGGAATCCGGGAAAGGACGGGAAAGAGAGGAGAAAAAAGAGTTGCTCGATCAGATGAAAGAAAATGGAAGTCAAGAGAAACGAAAGACCGGGGGGGGGGGGGGGGGGGGTCACGTAGGCGTTTGGGCGGTGTCCGCGGGAGTTACAGCGCTCCAGTGGCCGCTCGAGCCGCTCTCGTGGCGGCCCTACGAGACGGACGTGGCACCC